CGTGGCTAGGACCTCCAGTACTATGCTGAATAAAAGTGGGGCGAGTGGGCATCCCTGTCTTGTTCCTGATATTAGGTGAAAAGCTTTCAGCTTCTCACTGTTCAGTATGATGTTGGCTGTGGGTTTGTCATATCTGGCTTTCATTATGTTAAGGTACCTGCCCTCTATACCCATTTAGTAGAGAGTTTTTATCATGAATGGATCTTGAATTTTGTTGAAGCTTTTTCAGCATCTGTGGAGATGACCATGTGGTTTTTGTCCTTTTTGTTGATGTGGTGGATGATGTTGATGGATTTTTGAATGTTGTACCATCCTTGCATCCCTGAGATGAAACCCACTTGATCATGATCATGGTGTATGATCCTCTTGATGTATTTTTGAATTCAGTTTGCTAATATTTTGTTGAGTATTTTTGCATATATGTTCATCAGAGATATTGGTCTGTAATTTTCCTTTTTCTGTGGGGTCTTTGCCTGGTTTTGCTATTAGAGTGATGCTGGCTTCATAGAATGAGTTTGGAAGTATTCCCTCCTCTGCTATTTTTTTGGAAAACTTTAAGGAGAATGGGTATTATGTCTTCTCTAAATGTCTGATACAATTCAGTGGTGAATCCTTCTAGCCTGGAGGTTTCGTTGTTGGGTAGTTTTTTGATTACCTGTTCAATTTTGTTGCTGGTAATTGGTCATTTTAGATTTTCTGTTTCTTCCTTGGTCAGTCTTGGAAGGTTATATTTTTCTAGTAAGTTGTCCATTTCTTCTAGGTTTTCCAGCTTGTTAGCATATAGGTTTTCATAGTATTCTCTAATATTTGTTTGTATTTCTGTGGGGTCCACTGTGATTTTTCCTTTCTCATTTCTGATTCTGTTTATGTGTGTAGATTCTCTTTTTCTCTTAATAAGTCCGGCTCAGGGTTTATCATTTTGTTTAGTTCCTCAAAGAACTAGGTCTTGCTTACATTGATTTTTTCTATTGTTTTATTCTTCTCAATTTTTTTTATTTCTTCTCTGATCTTTATTATGTCCTTCTGCTGACTTTGGACCTCATTTGTTCTTCTTTTTCCAAAATAATTGTGTCTTCAGACTATTCATTTGGGATTGTTCTTCCTTTTTTAAATAGGCCTGGATTGCTATATACTTCCCTCTTAGAACTGCCTTCACTGTGTCCCACAGAAATTGAGATGTTGTTTTGTTGTTGTCATTTGTCTCCATGTATTGCTTGATCTCTGTTTTAATTTGGTCATTGATCCACTGATTATTTAGGAACATGTTGTTAAGCCTCCATGTGTTTGTGAGCCTTTGTGTTTTCTTTGTACAATTTATTTCTAGTTTTATACCTTTGTGGTCTGATAAGTTGTTTGATAGAATTTCAATCTTTCTGAATTTACTGAGGCTCTTTTTGTGACCTAGTATGTAATCTATTCTGAAAAATGTTCCATGTGCACTTGAGAAGAATGTGTATCCTGTTGCTTTTGGGTGTAGAGTTCTGTAGATGTCTGTTAGGTCCTTCTGTTCTAGTGTGTTGCTCAGTGGCTCTGTGTCCTTACTTATTTTCTGTCTGGTTGATCTGTCCTTTGGAGTGAGTATGTTGAAGTCTCTTAAAATAAATGCATTGCATTCTATTTCCTCCTTTAATTCTGTTAGTATTTGTTTCACATATGTCAGTGCTCCTGGGTTGGGTGCATAGATATTTATAATGTTTATATACTCTTGTTGGACTGACCCTTTTATCATTATGTAATGTCCTTCTTTATCTCTTGTTACTTTCTTTGTTTTGAAGTCTATTTTGTCTGATACAAGTACTGCAACACCTGCTTTTTATTCCCTATTGTTTGCATGAAATATCTTTTTACATCCCTTGACTTTTAGTCTGTATCTGTCTTTGGGTTTGAGGTGAGTCTCTTGTAGGCAGCATATAGATGGGTCTTGATTTTTTATCCATTCTATTACTCTGTGTCTTTTGATTGGTGCACTCAGTCCATTTACATTTAGGGTGATTATCAATAGATACATACTTATTGCCATTGCAGGCTTTGGATTCATGGTTACCAAAGGTTCAAGGGTAGCTTCTTTACTATCTAACCATCTAACTTTAACTCACTTATTACACTATTATAAACACAGTCTAATATTTCTTTATTTCTCTCCCTTCTTATTCTTCCTCCTCCACTCTTTATATGTTAGGTGTTTTTTTCTGTGCTCTTTTGTGTTTCCCTTGACTGCTTTTGTGGATAGCTGGTTTTATTTTTTGCCTCTAGTTAGTATTTGATTGGTCTGCTTTCTTTGCTGTGATTTTATTTTCTCTGGTGACATCTATCATCTATTTAGCCTTAGAAGTACTTCCATCTAGAGCAGCCCCTTTAAAATACCCTGTGGAGGTGGTTTGTGGAAGGCAAATTCCCTCAACTTTTGCTTATCTGGAAATTGCTTGATCCCTCCCTCAAACTTAAATGATAATCTTGCTGGATACAGTATTCTTGGTTCAATACCCTTCTGTTTCATTGCATTAAATATATCATGCCATTCTCTTCTGACCTGTAAGGTTTCTGTTGAGAAGTCTGATGATAGCCTGATGGGTTTTCCTATGTAGGTGATGTTTTTTCTCTCTCTGGCTGCCTTTAATACCCTGTCCTTGTCTTTGATCTTTGCTATTTCAATTATTATATGTCTTGGTATTGTCCTCCTTGGGTCCCTTGTGTTGGGACATCTGTGGGCTTCCATGGTCTGAGAGACTATTTCCTTACCCAGCTTTGGGATGTTTTCAGCAATTATTTCTTCAAAGACACTTTCTATCCGTTTTTCTCTCTCTTCTTCTTCTGGTACCCCTGTTATCTGAATATTGTTCCATTTGGATTGGTCACACAGTTCTCTTAATATTCTTTCTTTCCTAGAGATCCTTTTATCTCTCTCTGCCTCAGCTTCTCTGTATTCCTCTTCTCTGATTTCTATTCCATTAACGGCCTCTTGCACCTCACCCAGTCTGCTCATAAGTCCTTCCATTGGTGGTTTCATTTCTGTTATCTCCCTCTGGACTTCATGCCTTAGCTCTTGCATATTTCTCTGCAGATCTATCAGCATAGTTATGACTTTTATTTTTAATTCTTTTTCAGGAAGATTGGTTATATCCATCTTATCAGGCCCTCTCTTTGGCATTTGAGTGATTTTGGACTTGACCAGGTTCTTCTGCCTTTTCATGGTGATTGAAGTGATTGCTGGCAAGTGGTGCATGTGTCAGCTGGGAGAACAAAGTCCCTTCTTGCTTGGTGGTTGCCTTGCCCTTCTCCACTGCCTTTACTGGTTGCCTGCACACAGATAGCAGTCTCTGAGTTAATTCCCTGAGCTGCCGTGGGTGTGGCAGCCCTTGGGATATACTAGGGCACTGCCAGGGGTGCGTGGCATATGTTATCCTGACAGAACTGTGCTCCTTTGTGGCTTCCGGACTTTGCACCAGCTTCCTCTGTATGTGTTGTGTGCTGGCGGCAGCCTCTGGGTCTGTCGTGGTTAACTGCACGCTGGGAGAAGCCTCTATGTGGTTGCTGTGGGCAGGACTGCTCCCCTGCTGGTCCGCAGCAATGGCAGGTTAGCTGGTTTTCTTGTAGTCTTGGAGGGGTGGAATAAACAGCAGGCTGCTTATCACCGTGAGGGGCTCTGGAGCTGTGTTTCCGCTCAGGGGGTTAGGGTGCCTGAAGTTCCTTTAGATTCCCAGCCTGCTGGGCTGAGTGTGTCAGGACGGTTTTGTCCACCTGTTAAACCCTTGTCCTTTTAAGACTTTTAAAGCACCTGGTTTTCTTTTGTCCCAGCTGGCTGTGGGGACCCGCTTGCAGTCTCTGTCTCAGATTTTACTTTTCCATTTTTCTAATATCCAGTACACCATGCAATGTGTGTCTGTGCTCCTGGCGCAGGTTACTAGGGCTGGTTATTTAGAAGTCCTGGGGTTCCACTCCCTCCCCGCTCTGATTCTTTTCCTCTCACTGGTGAGCTGGGGTGGGGTGAGTGCTCGGGTTCCACTGGGTCACGGCTTTGTGTGTTGCCATTTTTGTGAGATGCTGAGTTCTCACAGATGTAGATGTAGCCTGGCTATTGTACTGTATCTTCTGGTCTCTTTTTTAGGAATAGAAGTATTTGCTCTATTTTCAAAATATATATGGTTTTGGGAGGAGATTTCCACCACCCTACTCACGCCGCCATCTTGAGCACCATCCCCCCCAGTAAACCCATCTTATTACAGGCATAGGAATGGACATAAAGGTCAATGACACAAAAAATGCAGAAATAGACCCCTTTATCATAGAGACAATTAGTATATGATAAAGATAACATTTCAAATAAGGGCAAATTTTGAACTGTTCAGTATATGATGTTGGGGGAACCATATAGCCATATTTGAAAAATAATTTCAGAAGGATCAAAGATTGAAATGTTGAAAAAGTGAAACATTGTAGAAAAAGAAGAAAATATGAAATTTAAAAAACCTTGGGTGGGGTTGTCTTTCTAAGCATGATACAAAACTGTGGAAGTCATAGGAGATTAACTTGACTATAAAAGGAAGAGAAAAATGAAACAGTAAAAATGTAGGAAAGTGGTAAAATGTTAGTTTATTTCAGAAGGAACTAATTTCCTTAGTATGTAAAGAATTTCTACAATTAATGAGACCAACTCTATTATAGGAAAATAAGCAGAACTTTCAGACATTTCATACATTTTCTAAAAAGAAAGGCAAATGACTTAAATATCAAAAAAGTTCAATCTTAGGAAATGTAAATTAAAATGACAAGGAGAAAATATTCAAAATTTATTCATTTATTAAAAAATAAAATTAATAGCCTAATTAAAAAATGGCTAAAAGATTGGAATAGGCACCTCACTAAAGAAATACAGACAGCAAATACACATATGAAAAGATGTTGCATATAATATGCCATTAGGGAATTGCAAATTAAAACAGTGATGAATAAAATTTAAATGCATATCTACTACATATGTATTATAATGGTGAAAATCCGAAATGCTGACACCACCAAATGCTGGCAAGGATGTGGAGCAGCAGAAACTCTCGTTCATTGCCGATGGGAATGCAAAATGGTACAGCTGCTTTGGAAGAGAGTTTGGCAGTATCTTCCAAAACTAAACATAATATTACCATAAGGTCTAGCAATCACACTGCTGGGTATTTACCCAAAGGGGTTGAAGATGCATGTCCACACAAAAATCTGCAAATGGATGTTTATGGCCACTTTATTCATAATTGCCAAACTTGGAAGCAACCGAGATGTCCTTCAATAGCTAAACAGATAAAGAAATAAGCTGGGGTACATTCAGGATAAAGTTATCCATCCAGAATCATATATTATTCAGCATTAAAAAGAAATGAGCTATCAAACCATGAGAAGACATGGAAGAGCTTGACTGCATATTACTAAGTGAAGGAGGCCAACCCGAAAAGGCGGAATTATGGGGACTGTAAAAGGACCAGTGGTGGCAGGGGTTGTGGGGAGAAGGGGACTGTGCAGAGCACGGAAGATTTTTAGGGCAGTAAACTACTCTTGTATGATACTATAATGGTGGATGTGTGTCATTATGCCTTTGTGCAAACACACAGAGTGTATACCACCAAGAATAACCCCTAATGTACTCTGTGGACTCTGGGTGATAATGATGAGTCACTGTAGGTTCATAGATTGACACAAATCCACCATCTGGTGCACGATGCTGACTGTAGGGGAGGCTGTGTGTGTATGTAAGGGCAGGAGGTAGGTGAGAACTCTGCATTCTGCTCAATTTTACTAGGAACCTAAAACTGCCCTAAAAATACAGACATTAAAAAACAGATACCATTTTTTAAATGGTTTAAATATTTGATGTACTGTATTCCTGAGGATAGAGAAGTAGGCATGTTTTTTGCTGGGGCATGGAGGGGGCATCATATTAATCTGATTTAGCAATTGTATATCTAGGAATTTATCTTACAGATACATCCATACTTGAATGAAAAGGTATATGTACGTAGAAACTACCCTGGGCTCTTGTTTATAATAGGAAATGATTGGAAACATTTAAAATGTCCTACAAAGGGAATGGGTGAAATCTAGGGCATTCATATGATGGCATACTCTAGATATCAAAGGGAAAAGTAGAAGAATAATTCAGTCTTTGGCTGATGACACTTTAAAAAATGATCGAGAAGACTTTTAGCTTTGCAATGCATCGTTAGTAATATCATGTACACTTTTTAAGATTTTGCTGTCAAATTTGCTGCAGCTTCCATCTGGTTTCCTTCCTGTGTGACCACTTCACATGTCCTTGGGTCAGGGTAGTCATAAATACTCGTTAAACTGAGGATCCTTGCTGTTGAATAGTTTGTCATCAATGTCTCCAAAATAATGGCAATTATGAGTTACACGTTATCTTTCAATTTTTTTTTCATGAAAATACAAAAATTTCAGTATTTTCCCATTGGGTTCATGATTTACCTCTCTTCATTAACTGGATTATCAAAAAACCCAATAGCCTATTCATTCTATTTGAAATTTATCCCTACCTGTTAATCACTGCTTTTACTGAGATTTGACATTTTTTCCCTTGCTTCTTGATGTCAGAATAATTTCTATTAATCTCATTGCTCATTTCATATTACAATAACTTCATGCATCATCTTCTGTATTTAATAAATTGAAATCCTTCATGAATGTCCACATCTGAAATTTTTAATTTTTTTTACTGAAATAGTCTAAAATGGTTTTTCCAAATTGCAGTTACAATGAGTCAACCTTTAATTTTTAAAATATTAAAAAATAATACACATATCATAAGATATGCCCTTTAAAAAAGCATACAATCGATAAAGAAGTGTATAATCTAATGATTTCTTTTTTAGTATATTCACAAAGTTGAGTAACTATCACCACTGATTTCTTCACTCCCAAAATGCTATGCCCATTAGAAGTCACTCCCCGCTCCTCTCCTCCCAGTCCCTGGCAACTGACCACTCACCTATATTCTCTCTCTGTGGACTTGCCTACTCTGAACCCTTCCTATAATGGAATCATAATACGTGGCCTTTTATGCAACTTTCATTAACTTTTTGAATAAACTCCTTGCATCTCGTTTGTGTGAGAAGGTTTTCCTTCTCACAGAAAATATATTTGAGTCGTTAAACTGTCAGTGTACTGTAGAATGTCACTGTGCTACAAGATCTCACTGCTTTATGATGGGCAAGTCATCTCACTATCCTTAGTCTCTTAAAAAGAAAAATCCAATTTAGTGTGGATGTTTAAAACACTACATCTAATATTAGAGAGAAGCCCAAGAAGAAAGCAAATCGTGCAAAATCCTCAAGTAGTTAACAACTTCAGGAATTGAGAGGCAGCTTTTCCTGATGTGATTTAGGGATGAGTTGCATCCAGAATACATTGAAATGCTTGCTAATGTTTCTAAAGAGTACTTGAAACTTTATCACCTCTCCTGACAGCCACACTGTCCCTGACTGATTGCAAATGGGAAGTATAAGTTACAACGGTCCAGAACTTCATTCACTCTGTCGAAAAGCCCGAGCTGCATTTGAATTATTCTTGCATGTGCCTTATTTCAAATGAATTTTGGCAAAAAGTTAAAAAGTTGGTTTTCTGCTGTGGGTAAAATTTTGTGAGATAAAGAAATCTCAGTTGATTTGTTCTTCTGTTGAGGAAGGTATTTCCAATTTTTGATTCCTGCATTATTAATAATGCAACGATGGTCTTACCAGGTCTTCTTGTACACATGTGTGAATATGACACCTTGTTTGGGGTTGGTTGATATTCTTGTTTGCCTGGATATGAGAAAACCAGTGTCTCACATACAGTTAGTACATTGATGTATGCTCTTTCTAAAGGGCAGTTTGGTAAGCTGTAGCAAAATTAAGCAGGTATGTATCCAGAGACAATTTTAGTTTTATGCATTTGTTTTGCCAAAACACTTGCATCACCATGTAAAGTTAAATGCACAATAATTTTTATTGAAATATCGTGTGTAATAAATCATTGTATACAGAGAGTAGTTTGTTTTTAAAACTTGAGTTAGTCAGATGTATTAACATGCAAGAATATCTATGAGTAGCTTGCTAATTTAAAAAGGCAAGCTGCAAAATAAAATCTTGAATATGATGCAGTTTTTGTAAAATGTCATATATCTGTGCTAAAGAAACTTTTGAATTTTCATCAAGCTGCTGCTAGTGGCCATCTCTGAGGAGGACATTGTGAGGGAAACTTATTTTCAATACTTTTTTCTGTATTTTTTTTTAAAAAACAGAATAGTTACTGTTTTTAAATAAAAAATAATGCTATCACCATTTTGGGGAAAATGTGCTTAATCAAGAGAATTATTTTTTAAAGTTTGCAATATCTGAAAAACTATCCTTGTTTCTTTTTTGAGACAGTACATATAGCATGCTATTTAGAACTGATCTGACTAGGATGATATTTATTACCTTTGTTATAAATCGAGGTTGCTCTTTATACTTTACATATGTCACTTTCATTTGTAGGGTTATTTGGTAATTTCAGTTTTGAAAGAGACATTTACATACTATAGTAAGATAGTGTGAATGAAAACAAAAGCTTGTGCTTTAAAGATAATTTCAAGTCACAATTTCCTAAACATTTTTAGGGAATGTAAGCAAAGAGTTGAGGGGGGTCAGGGTGAGTATGAGAAGGGTGGGAAGAGATTGAAGAAGAGAATTGGAAAGGGTTGAGGAGGGAATTGATACTGGATGAGGAGATTAAAAAGATTTATTTGTGTTCAAGCTGAGATCAAAGCTGTACATTTGTAACCAGTGCAGAGAGGGGAAGTAAATCTGTTCTCAGACTTTTTCTTATATATCAGGGGAAAAACTTTTTGGAAGGACAGCAAAGACAAGTGGCTGCCTTGCAATTCTGTTCGTTGAACACGGTTAGTTACTCTTTACAGTGAAGGGTCTGACAATGACTCTTGGCCGTTAAGATATGCTTGGAGCCAAGAAACAGATGAATACGAAAACAATCCCATAGTAGAAGCAGGGGACTTCATATTCAGGACATTATTCTGATAAATGCAAAGAGCAATGACCATTATTTATAATTAATACTCGATTTATGATCCTGGTGCTTTTCCTACTGGCTGCAGAGTTACAATGTATTTTTCTGTGTATACCTTGGTAACCTATTTAGAATGAATGAGTTTGGAGAGATTGATGATTTAAAAGTAATGTTTTTACTTGGTAAAATGACACAAGCCTTCTGTTTGTTTGTTTGTTTATTTATTGACAGAAAGCTATTGGAGAAGCAGGGGTGTGGTTATGTTATACAAGAACCCCGTGTGGAAGAGCCCCAGCATGTGACAAATATTATGTATTGATGTATAAAAGCAAATTATGAAGTTTTTATTAATAAATTACAGATCTTAGAAGATGTCTATCAACTTTGTCAACGATGATGGTTGAATTTTTCTCTAGAGGTCCTGTTATTAAACGGACTACTCTATTGCTATTAAAATGATCTGGTCCATTTTTCAGTTTAGATTTGCATCAGGTTACCATTAATGTATGTGGAATGGTGAACCCTTTCTGGTGCTCTATTATCCCTCATTGTCCTTTCTGGGCTGCATCCTTGAGGCATGAGCTCAAAGATCTCTTTTAACACCTTGGTCTTTTTCTTTTAGAGCAATGATCATAATTGTGATAATTCACTTTTTGTTTTTTTTGGTGTCTGTTTAATGTTTATATCTGTTGCAAGGCTGTGGACTCAATGAGCTGAATCATCTGTCTTTTCCTACCTTACTCTCAATACTTAGCACAGTGCCTACTGCGTAACATTCAAAATAATATTGAGAACCAAAGAACAGAGAATGGTTGAAAAGAGAGATATTGGCAGGATCAAGAACAGAGAAGGAAAGTAGCAGTTGAGAGAAATTTCAGGTGATGATCTCAAAGATAAGGACTCTATATTGGAAAATGTGCTGAAAGCTGTAGGATTGCAAACATTTTTGTGTCAGTATGCATCATTCCATTATATTTGGGTGAATAAGAGTTTCGTAACAATATAGCTGATTTATGTTATGAACTAGATTTGAGT